ATTGCTATGGAAACCAGGAAATAGAAACAGCACTCTAATCATTCCTTTGGACAACCATGGCTAATTATTCGTGTGTGTGTGTGTGTGTGTGTGTGAGAGAGAGAGAGAGAGAGAGAGAGAGAGAGAGAGAGAGAGAGAGAGAGAGAGAGAATTTGTTATAGTTTATTCACCTTGTATTGAAAGTTGGTACTGAACCCCAAATATATAATTGATCTGTCCATAATAGGCCCAGTGTCCTCCAGTCACTAAATCAGCATTTTGATATGAACCACAGTCATTGTTAAATTATGCCATGTGACATCAGGAAATCTTGGGTAGGACTCCATTGTTCATTTCGCCCTGCCATGCTGCAGCCTCCTGCGTTGGTATGAAGAACACCTGACCGGGAATTAAGAGCTGGACTCTAAGCTGCCTCTCTCACTAACCAGCTGTGTGACCCTGTTAGGACACTTTGGCACTCAGTTTCCTCACTTGCAAAATGCTTCAATGCAAGACTCTACTATTACCTAATGGGAACGTTCCTTTTCCATAAAACTGAGGAATCATGAGGTAATCACTTTATAGGATTGAAACTGCTATGTGTAGTACCTGGTAAAGTGTCTGGCACATAGTAAGCTCTCAGGGAAACGCTAGCTATTCTTACTATATTTTTTTTACTTTTCATTCTGTAGGTAAATAATTCCTGAAACTGCATGGTAAATTCCAGAGGTTTCCATGGCTGTCAATAATAACTAACGGATGCCATTATCCGAACAAGCCCATAGGAGTCAGAAAGGAGAACGCTAAGTCCTACCAGGCGATGCTGCTCCTCGGGTCTCTTTACCTTTGACTGTTTATTTTCCCGTCAAGGGTAAGGTCAATTTCTACATTTAGACATGTGAAATATAAAAAGTTATCCTGAAACAACTGATACTAATACAACTCACCAAGCCCTCAAGGCTTTTTTTTAATCATAAGATTGCAACATTCAAGAATTAAACTTTTGTTCTGTTTTGCTTGTTCATTGATGTTTGCCTAGTTATTTAATCAGCCTGTTTCCTGCTGTGGAAGTAAAAAAAGAAGAAGAAAAAAAAACCTTAAAGAAACGGAGGTTTCCTCAGGGTTACACTCCTGTATTGTTCTTCCTTTCAGAAATCCGAGTTATTCTAGTAGGGGATAATCGCTGCATAGTGAGATCATTGGGACAATTCTTCTATCCACGCTGACCTCCGTCTCTGACAATGAAGTCCTTGTTTCCGTGGTGCTCAAATCTTTCTCTACGCGGGTGAGCGCCCGGTGGCTGACCGGGACGTGGGACAGGCAGAGCCTCGCGCTCTTCCCGCGGACCGCGCGCCGCGTGTGGGCGCGGGGGGCCCTGCGCGCCCGGCGACGCTCGCCCCGCGAGCACCAGGAGGGGGAGACGCGCTCCCGCGTATCTGCCGCCGTGCTAACTTCCAACTGCCCGAGCTAGGGGAGGAGAGAGAGCGCTGCAGGGCGAGAAAACTTCTCCACCTAGTGAGTTTCACCTTGTCGTGGGCGGGGGAGGGGTGGGAGGAAACGCGACCCCCGTGGGGCCAGGCGCGGCGCGCGGGCGGCAGGAAGGGCGGGGGCCGGTTTCCCCCCCGGGGGTGGTGCCAGTCCTCACCTCAGCGGTCTTTGGACCCGCCGACGAGGCGGCCGGACAGAGCGCCAGACAGACGGACACGTGCTGGGGCGGGCGGGAGGCCGAGCGCCTCTGGGGCGGGTGGCAGGGCCGTGCCTCCCGCCTGGACGCGCCCGGCCTCCGCGGGCGGCGCGCGCGCCCGGCCCCGGCTGAGTCACGGACCCGCCAGGCGCGGTGGGAAGGGGCGGAGGGAGCGCCGCCGGCCAGCGCCGCTCGAGGGCCCGGCCGCAGGTGACCCGAGGCTCTCGCCCAGCGCTGGGTGACCAGCTGCAGAGCCCAGCGGAGGGCGCGAGCCAGATGCGGGACGACAGCTGAGTCGCGGCGAGGAGGCGGCGCGGAGAGCGCGGGTGGTCCCTGCGCCCCTGACCTCGCCGCCGCGGGTTCCCGGGTACAGCAAGGTAACACCGCAGCCCCTTCTGAGCCCTCACTCCACCCCTCGCGTTTCTGCTCTTTGTTCCGAGAAGAGACCTGACGGCTGTTGCCAGGACAAGACCAGAGAGGTAGGCGACACAGGTCAGCGGCTCCAGAAACTCCAGCGGTGGGCACGGGGGAGGTCGACACTGGAATGGGCTTTCCGTTTTCGGGGGTCGCTTCTGACGGCCACCTGTATGACTCAGGAGAGAGGAGCACCGGGTAGGGGGTGATCTGTGACTGTTTGTGGCCAGTTTCAAGGCTGCGAGCTGACTCAGCCCTTACAAGAGGGAGCTGGTCACCCTGTCCCACGGTGATGCAGCTGGCCAGGTTGGAACCCTGAGGTTTCCTTGTTCCCAGCCCGGCTTTATCTGTATTATGTGGGGGTCCTTCCATGGGACAGGTGTTTCTGTGACAGCCTGAATTCTTCATTTCTGGCAAACACACAGCACTTGCGATCATTTTCAAGTGTACCTTAGCTCTTTGCTGGAGCTCATCTAGCTTATTAGGTGAATCGATTATAACCAGAGGTGGGTCGGCTGGCCAGTACTGTTACTGACCCAGTAATTAAAGCACTAATGCAAATATTCTCACTGGCTATTGCCAATGCAGAATTTACCCCAGGGTACGGTTTCCTTTCATTTCATACCTTTTATGTTTCAGAAGAGCCGTTTACAGATTTGGCAGTGGAAGAGGGTTCCAGTGGCTCACGCATGAATAGTTGCCCGATGTATTTTTCCTTTTTACAGTTTTATGTTCAAAGGATCCCTGGGGTAGAATGAAATATTGTCAGCTCTCTTAGGCAAAATAATCAGGATACTTTAATTGCCAAGTTAAGATGGTTGATGAATATGGGAGGATTGTAAAAATTGACACTGGAGAGAGTGTAGACTCTCTGAACCCTCTCCTGAATTTTAAGACCGTTCACATTTTGTAGAGTTGGGTGGAGGTTTATTCTCTTGTATCCATCGGCCAGACACATGGACATTGCCATGCAAATGGATTCAGAAAAACATTATTTTCCTTTACAGCTAAACTATTATAGCTGACTAATGATTTTTTTCTGCATGCAGATGATCTGAGAATTATGTACATCGTGTTTCTCTGTGCTACTGGGGCATAAATTGTGCTTTTATGTAAACTGTAAGTGGTGCTTGGATTATTTACAGGTACATAGCTTTCTTTCCTTTCTAGCTCTGAGCTTATTGGGCTTTGTTTTAACATGTGAACTTCCGTAATGGAACAAAAGTGAAGTGCTTTGGTTCCAGCCAGGTCTGTGGTGTATTCAATGTCCACTCTTTCTGAACTGTTGAATAACACAGGTAAAATTTACATCACTTACAAGAAACTTCTGTAGTACCAAAATGTGCCTGATTGCCTGCAAAATATACTGGCATTTAAAAAAATCTGTTCAGGTTTCACACTTAACAGTGTATAAGTCTATAGTTATTAACCTAAATACATTTTTATTTTAATATAATGGAATTTATGGCATATAAAAGATGATCTGCTGACTACTGCTTTTTCAAAGACTGCTTTGTTCTTAATACATCACAATAGGGATTTACATTAGATGTACATACACCCCAAGCCTTCAGATTTAGCAGTGAGGTTTATCTGAACAAGATTAGCCACAGCAAGTCAATATGAAAGCTCGTAACTAGTATTTTCATGACTTTTAAACCTACAATAAAACAAAAATGGCACTTTTCTAAACAGGAAAAAAATACCCTTATCTTACAGATTCATTTTAAGACTATATAAGCATGTGTCCCACTATAATCTTGATTTTTTAAAAATTTGTTTTAATGAGGCTTAGACTGAGAAATACATTTCAGAAATCAATTTTCTCAGTTGTTAGTAAAACAAAAAAGTCGAAAATAGCATTAGTCTAATTTTCCTTTAACAAATCTATATAATAACCTCAAATAAACTTTTTCTCAGGTGTGGTCATCTCAGAATAAAGTGAATAAGCCAAAAAGGCTAACATCTCCTCAGGACACGCGCCTTTCTCTAAGTGGCTGCAGCAGTGCCTCTGGCGACACCTCCACGATGAGCACCAGCTCCCTTTGCTCTGAGCATCTCCCACCTCCCCACCCGTTTCCTCCTCATCCCTTCCGCTTGGTCTGGCCAGAGCCACTTCCAAGCCCTCTTGTGCCCACATTTGTCTACGTTCTCATGGTTCCCGCTTCACTGACGTTACACTTAATGACTCTCACCAGAACCAGTTATGCTTTCTTTCCCCTGCCATCCCTAGTGTTTTCCTTGGGCTGTTGTCTTTGTTTATGGGACCCCAAATTTCCTAATGGTGCCAACTGAAGGGGAAAACATACGAGTATGCAGAAATTCAAGTGCCAGGGAGTATATCTCCCTGGTGTATGTTGAAACTGTTGTCTTTGACGCTGAGCCCTCAGGACAGAATTTCTTCATGGGCTTTGCTCAGCACAAAATAAATAGTCACCTCTTAGTAATAAATGATGGGTATACTGACTAATGTCAGTTTGGCATCACATTGATTTAACAGACACTGAGTTGCTGCCAGGCCCACATTTCCCTCACCAGAAATAGCTAAGAGTTCCATATAGAGCATCGTATGTGTTTGGTACTTTTTTAAAGAGGGAGAAATGAAGACTCTGCCCTTGAGTTTACAATCTAGATATACAGATAAGTAATACACATATAAAACAGAACCAAGACCCATAATTATTAAGGGGATGTCCCATGAGAATAGCATCGTTAGAAATCACCCCATTTGCTATTAAATAGAATTTTCTTTCAAATGATTGGAACACAAAGATCTCTTAAAATTTTCAAGCTGCTTTTGAGTGGACCACCTTTTAGACACCACAGCCTTACCAGGTAGGCAATACCTAGCCGCCCATGTGATGGACAGCAGAAGTGTGTGCTTCAGCCTGGGCCCCATGCTGTCGCAACAGCACCCACAGCCTCTGCCCAGCCATCAGTGAAGGCTAACTATTTGAAGCAGTTCCACTGAGAAATAGGTTGGGATCTTTAGGTTAGTAATAAATGATGAATATACATTTGTAGGTTCTGGGCTTTTTCTCACCTTCTCTTTCCCCAGTTCTCTTTTTTTTGCTTTCTCTTTTTATAGTAAAGCATACCAAGAAAGGCTGCATTCATATCTGTGGGGCATTCTATTATCAGATTAAGAGTTGTGAGTAATTTTGTGATCTACCCTTCTATCAGAAACCCCATTCTCAGATATCTCTTTCAGCTGTGTTTAACAGTTTAGTATATTCCCCTTGGGATTTGTTTCAATAAAAACATCCAGTAAAATCTGACTAGTACTTTGCTTTTTTAAGAAACAAAATAAAGAAGTGTTTTTATAAGCTGTAAAACATAATTAAGAAAAAAGTCACGTCTGGCATTTGTAGCAGGTGTGACCAAAGTGAAATTTTTAAAAAAAGTTAACTCGCCAATTACCCAGGTATACATATTTCTTTTGTGTTGTGTGAATGTTTATGGAGGATACTCCTGTTGTTTTTAATTTCTGTAATAAATTATGTAGCTATATGGCCTATAGAAATTATATAAGAGCTTATGAGCCATATAAATTATATAGTCCATAGGATGTGAAAATGTATTTCTCTAAATATAACAAAGGATTACTATGAAATATGGTCAAAGCAATTATATAATGTGATCAGAGAATCATGGGTTCTAGTGAAAGCTAAGTTCCTATATTCTAAGAATGAGATTGAGGATTTAGTCATTCAGGATAATTTGTTGTGCACCTACCAGGCATAATTCCAGTTTCGGGCAATGCAGCAGAGAATAAAATACACAAAAGCCTCTCTGTTTTATATTGAGGAAGGCAAACAATAAATAAAATACGTAAATAAAATGTGTTGTATATGAGGTGCTGATAAGAGCTAAAAGGATGCATAACATGGTGAAGGGGAGTAGGTACTGTCAAGGATAAGAGAGGATGGGGTGGTGATTGAAAAATTCAGTCGTGGGGTCAGAGAAGGCCTCACTTCAAAGGTGGCTTTTGAGCTAGAGCCTGAAGGAGATGAGAAAGCGACCTATCTGGTTATTTGGAGCAGGGCTTCTACTTTGCATCCCTCAGAGAGTACCATTCTCATTTTGTTTTCTGTGGACTTGTGCAGTCCACAGCCTGCACAGCGGTACATGAGGTCCCTGGTGTTTTTATGGGACGTACCTGAAGGTGAAGTCGTGGCCCACATCCCCTGGCTTACGCGGTGTAGAAGAAGAGAACCCATGGCGTTTTCCTCCATTTGTCTGGTTCTGTCCCCAGACTCCATCCTTGATCAGGGATATTGCCCCCTTCGAACACTTTTCCTTCTTACTTTCTCGGTTGTGAGCCTGGCCCAGAGGAATTTGTTGAAAGTAATGCCCATAGCCTTTGTCACAGATCCTTCCATAGCATAAACCTGGAGCCATCAAGGGAGGCGATTGCTGATGGCCTAAGCTTCTGTCTGCTGTGCGCTTCTTTCTTTTCTCTCTCGCCTTCAATACCCCTTTCCAGTGTGAAACCACTGTGTTTGATTTCCTTCGTCGTGTCTTCCTTCTTTCTTATGCCCTGTCTGTATCATGTATTGAGATTTGCAAACCGCTAACTTGAATGAGTGAACGAACCCTTTCACTAGGGACCAACAACCTGCTCAGAAAAAGCCCCCCCGAAGGCGGGGTTGGGGGACACTGCTTGGCGTCACCAGAGTTGCTGTGAGAATCGCTGTATGATGTGCGCCCACATGGTGTTGTCTCTCAGATTTTCAGGAGGAGCTAGAAATCCTGCAATATTAAAATGTTGACTCGGCATCTTTAAAACTGCGGTGGGAGAGACAAAATGTGTGCGGGCCAGATTTGGCTCCTGGTGGTCTTGTTTGCAGTCGTGGCCACAACCGTACCTGCCACGTGATGCCCTGTGACCTTCAGCGTACATGGCCAAAGATCCCCAGGACCACTTCTGCAAAGTGTTTTATCTTTTAGAATTCTCAGATATTTTTTCCTCTCTGCAACATTAGCTTAGCCACTTAAAAAAGAAAAATACATTTTGTATTTCATCGTATATTGGCACATTCCGTACTTAGTTTTCTAAACTCATCAGCCCACACACTTTCTATCAAGCTATGTGTATTTCGAATGGGTAGTCTGACTACTTCATCCTTAAACTGAAGCCATCACTTTCTGAAACCTAAATTCATCATATCTTTATATGTAGATATCATATTTCATTTCCAAATTCTCATTCAAAATAAACTCTCTCTTTGGAATAAACTGGCACTTTCTTGGTTTCTTTCTTTTTTTTTTTTTTAGAGCTGCCTGAACTTCACCAGTTGTTATTCCTCTACCATTGAAATTCAACACGCGCACTGCGTTGGTTTCCAGTGCCCTTTAAAAGCCATCAGATC